CAGGGCCACGTGGTTCACTTTTGCAGGTTTGCACGCTGCTAGAATTGCAGGGCTTATGATCTGATGCATAAAAACTTGCGATCCTAAAACCCTAAGCCCTTGCAACTTGCAACTTGCAAACCCTAAACCCTGCACCCTAAACCCTAAACCCGAAAACCCTAAACCCTAAACCCCTAAACCCCTAAACCCTAAACCCTAAACCCCTAAACCCTAAACCCTAAACCCTAAACCCGAAGGCCTCAAGGCCGCAGCAGCAAAGCTCGAGGGCCATCGCGCTGGGCATCTCGGCCTCGGGTTTGCTGCAGCCCATTAACGGGGTTTAGGGTTTAGGGTTTAGGGTTTAGGGTTTAGGGTTTAGGGTTTAGGGTTTAGGGTTTAGGGAACGCCCTCAGGGTCCATGTACCTCTTCTGGGAGGTTCAGGGTAGTTACTCGAAACCCAACGATAAGTGTAGTTCTAACCCACTCATAAGCCCCTGAAGTACCCTAGTGGGGTTTTAAGTGGGTTAGAAGTGCAGTTACTAGTGGGTTCCTGAGTGCCATGAACCTCCAAGTAGAGCATTATTGTATATACGGGGCCCCTAAAGCTGCGATAGAGGAACCCCGTTTTAAGGCCCAAGTATGCGGTTTATGGTTTATAAGGGTTTAGGGTTTAGGGTTTAGGGTTTAGGGTCTATAGGTATGCGTGTTGCTTGCAAACACAACCAGCTGGCAACAGGACAACACAGTCGCCAAAAGCATCTCAATGCAAGATGCCCATCATTGGGCAATCATGCTCGTTCACGACCTGCCCATTAACAACTTCTTGTCACCGCTTCCGCTGATTTCCGCTCGAATCTGGAAAGAATGCTTGTTTGCCTGTAATTATAAGAAACCTTGTTCACAGAAGATACTGAAGTTGAGTCACAGTCTACCAGGAAGCGACCTAGAACCCTACCCCCCCCCCCCCCCCCCTAAACCACAAGCACTGAACCCTAAACTCGTAATAAACTGAGGGTTGTTCTGAAGATGTTGAGACAGAGAGGGGTCTCGGGAGGGTTGCTCTAACGGCTCCGCTCGCACAAGTGTAGCTAGTGCACGCTTGCCAATACCTTACATATGGCTTCTGCATAATGTTCCCTATACAAGACATCATATCGCAGCAGCTGAAAGATTAAGGATTGGCAGCCATGCTGAATTGTGGAGGGCCTTTAGAGGTCCCAAAGCCTCTTGAACACAGGCGTGGTGTCCCAGCCCTGCGATCTCCTCACTTTTCGCTGCACTTTGCTTCTTCTGAGCAATCCTAGTCAGAGACTTGCCTGTAAGAGCCGCTGGTAGGACAGACTCAACACATCCCCCCAGCAGCAACTGCGGCACCCTGGTCATTCCAAAGTAACAGTGGACCGTAAGCCAGAGATGGGCCAACTTGGTCCCTGACCCACACAGTTTAGGGTTTAGGGTTTAGGGTTTAGGGTTTAGGGTTCAGGGTTTAGGGACCACAAACAAAGGAGAGCAATACTTGAGCATCTCATCCAGAGAGGCTGCCTACACTTCAGCATATTCGGCTGGCATGACCTGGGTCTGCTGACTCGCCTCTTGCTGAGTCAAGTGCATCGATCGAGCCACGTCGTCCAGGTGCTCTCGCCACCGCTTCACAACATCGTCTTGATGTTCCTCCTTCCAAGCCACGTCGAGCATGAAGGGAAACTGATCCACGAAGAGTAGTTGTAGTGGGGAGCTGTAAGAGATACCTTTTGCATCTGGCCTGCTGTGACCCTAAACCCCTAAACCCCTGAACCCCTAGAGGAAATCACGACATGCTGGATGAGGGGGTCGAAATCAGGACGACAACAGCAACTTCATCAATCCGAGGATCCTATGGACAGATGATCCGGCGGTCCTGATAGAAAGCAGGAATCGCACGCATAGAGAACCCTATCTCGGGATGTTGCGAAACGGTGGTGCTCTGCCTCGGTTGCGGAGATGTACAATGGGAAGTTGCACCCACATGACATGACCATTGCGCGATCACGGTCAATGCGCGCCAGATGTCCTTGCTGTGGCCCCAAGATGTAGGCGATGAGCTTCTGTAGGGCCATGAAATCTTCAGCTTCGCTACAATTCTCGGCTTCTCCTGGTAGTCCCTGAGCATCTGAAGGCAACGAGGCATGATGAGGCTTTCAGTCACATTCATACTTGATCTCTCTTGAAAGGCTCGACCTTCTTGCCTCCTCCCTCGTCCTCCCGATCTCCTCAAGGCAATCCGCCACATCGAGGACCCACTCCCAAAGTTCGCCGGCTTCCTTCTTCGCTTTGCACCCACCATCAAGGTCCACCCCCTCAAGTTCCCTCAGCAACTCCCAGGATCTGGGAGTTGCTGAGGGTTTAGGGTTTAGGGTTTAGGGTTTAGGGTTTAGGGTTTAGGGTTTAGGAGCTGTCCAACTTCGGCGCGAAGTCCACATCCCGCGCGACATCGTGAAGACACTCTTGGCGAGCCTTGGCTGCATCCTCCTTGAAGAGGCTCAGGGTTTCGGATTTCCATGTAAGGTCTCCGGTTTGAGCACGTTTCCGGTTTAGGGTCGGGTGTAGGTTCTAGGGTGTGGAGTTCAGGGTTCAGGGCTGGCATAGGTGCCGAGGGATTCTCTGATGATTCAAGCAAAGCGTCGGTCATATCGACGAAGCTCTCCGCCGCAGATGCTAGGCAAGCTGCCGTGCTCTTGATCCCCTCAAGTCGGTGGCGTTTTGAACCGGAAGATCGGTACGATCTGCTGAATGCTGTTGCTAGAACAACTTGCATGTCAAGGGTTTTGGGTTTAGGGTTTAGGGTTTAGGGTTTAGGGGTACAGGCAGCATGCTGGAAGCAAACTACCCCACCAACCTCCCCTCTGCCGTCAACATCACCATTGCCGCTACATCTAGAGCATTCCAGAGTAGCACTACGTCCTTGTGCTGAGGCCCCAGCTCGCGGTTGTCCTTCCTGTTGCTTAGGGATTGGGGTCTAGGTTTAAGGGATTGGGTCTACAAGAGGGTTTCGTGCACCATTTGGGTTTGGTATGCAAGGCTGAGTAAACGTTAGATGGCTCTACGGTGATGCGTAGGATTGCGGTTGAGCATTGGGGGTACTCCCAGAGCTTATGAGAGGTTCAGAAGCGATTTTCAGGGAGTTCTAGGTTTGAGGATTCAGAGGTTAAGGACATGCTTAGGGCTTGTTTGTGGCTGTGGTCTTCGACGTGTCTCCTATCACCCAAGAATCGCTTCTTGAAGCTACTGTACTCCCCAGTTATTAGATTTGACTCGAATTGACAATCGCTCTGAGTGACAGCACACCCACAAAAACACAACGCCCCCAAACCCGAAAAATCTTGATTGCACCCAAACCCGAAGCCCCCAAACGCAGAACCTCAAGCGGACCCCTACAGCAAGCAACAAAGCACCCTTAACCCTCGAGCTCATTCGCTAAGCCCCTAACCGTTTTAGTTGAATCGTAAGCCTAAACGAAGCCTAACCCCCTAACCCCAAAACCCCAAACGAACCCTCACCCCTAACCTCCAGAACCCTTAAGCCCAAACCCCTGCATCTTCAATCCCAGGCTGCCCTAAACCCTAAACCCTAAACCCTAAACCCTGGACCCTAAACTCTAAACCCTAAACCCTGCTTCGGACAAGTCACTGCTGAGAAGTGTTCGCGAAGGAGCTCGGCCACTGGCCTTACGCGCGCAGATCTCCAGTCTCAATCAGCGAAAACCAGAGGCGGATCGTATAAGCCCCTTGAACCACCATGAGACCCATCAAAAAAAAAAAATCGCCAGCACCAATCCTTGAACATGTCCCGAGCTCCACAAGCAATCGTGGCGCCCTAAACCCTAAACCCTAAAACCCTAAAACCCTAAAACCCTAAAACCCTAAAACCCTAAAACCCTAAAACCCTAAAACCCTAAAACCCTAAAACCCTGAAAGCCTAAAATCTCTGTCTAATCCACCGGCAACGCTGCCGGTATTCTCAAGCTGGGGCATGGCCTCAACGCGCAAGGGGCTAATATTGGGGCCTGAATGATTAGAGTCTTCTTCTTCTTTTTGTTTCGTTTTTTTTTTTTTTTTTTGGGGGGGGGGGGGGGTTCTTATAGTATGTTGATTAAGGCAATACTACTAGCAATTATTCCGACCCCTATAGTCACCTGATCAGAGTGCTACTTGCGGGTTGATCTTGGTTGCAGCGACAGTTTTCCTGGCCACTGATGCTCGAGATCACCTCCGCAAGCAGTTGGCATCATGAACCATGCATCGGCTTACGAATGCCTACCCCACACGAAAACCAACACACAATGAAACCCTAAACCCTAAACCCTAAACCCCAAACCCGAAACCCGAAACCCCGAAAGCCGAAGTCGCACCCCTTCCGAACTCGCACCCCCTGAATGCACAAGCAAGTGCATCAGGGCGACAAGGCCAACGAAGGAAGCGCCAAGTGCAGCTTCCGCAGAACCGCCGCTGCCTACGATGGTCTCTCGGATTTCGGGGCCCGGCGGGGAGTGTCGGGGAGGCTCTGAAACCCCAAACCCTTTAGGGTTTGGGGTTTGGGGTTTAGGGTAACTCCTAAACCCTAAACCCTCAACCCCGGCAAAGGGCCACGCTTTGAAACCACGACCACCTTGCAAATTCAGTTAGAGATGCCCCCCGGTGTACAGTCCAGAATGAAAGGTTCCCTACATTCAAGCAACTATGGTGGTAGTACATGTTGAACTTCGGAAGGTATGTACAAAGAGTCGTACCAGCTGGGCTAGGATGTGCTGTTTAAAAGGTATCACCAAAGCAGCTACTTGCAGGTTCATGGCACTGACTAACCAATTATAACTGAACTTGTATAGCTGTACTTATAAGTGGGTTGTAAGTACAGCTATACCTGGTTAACAAGTACCATGAACCTCCAAGTAAACCCCAACTCCTAAACCCTAGAAGCTCCAATCTTGGCCTCCACGCCCTTCATTTTGCTTTAAATTGTTGCCCTAAACCCTAAACCCTAAACCCTAAACTCTAAACCCTAATCCGCACATTTGCAGCGAGCCGGCCTTGTCCCAGGCGCCCGCATCGCCCACGGGGAAGCGCTCCATTTGGTCATGGGGCGCCTCAAGCCAGGCCTGTGTGAGGTGTAGGTAGGGTTTAGGGTTTAGGGTTTAGGGTTTAGGGTTTAGGGTTTAGGGTTTAGGGTTTAGGGTTTAGGGCTTAGGGTTTAGGGTTTAGGGTTTAGGGTTTAGGGTGGTTTAGGGTTGTTTAGGGTTCAGGGTCTAGGGTTTAGGGTTTGGGGTGTAGGGTTTGGGGATTGTGGCTTGAGGGAAGCCCAGAGCCCCAACACCCTAAACCCTAAACCCCTAAAACCCTAAACCCCTAAACCCCTAAACCCCTAAACCCCTAAACCCCTGAACCCTAAACCCTAAACCCTAAACCCTAAACCCTAAACCCTTTCTCATGGTTGGAGCATGGGTTTCGGGCTAAGGGACTGGGGGCTGCCAAGCGGGTGGGGAGGATGGGTTTGTTGGCGGACCTCGATAGGGTTTAGGGCTTAGGGCTTAGGGCTTAGGGCTTGGGGTTTGGGGTTTGGGGTTTGGGGTTTGGGGTTTAAGGTTTGGGGTTTGGGGTTTGGGGTTTAGGTCACTAGCACCCTAAACATGGTGCCAGAACAACGGCTTCGAACCAGGGTGGCCGGTCTCGCCCTGGACACACTCAGCGCCGCCCGAGCCGCTCAGCTCAGCCCTTCGTGGCCATGTTTTAACCATTTACCTGATTGGTCCGTTATACAGTGAAGCAACTAAATTCAGAAACCAAACTCAAGCATACCTTCAAGCCTCAAACCCGGAACCCTGAAGCCTCCGAGACCCCTTCACGGTAGTTCCTTCTTCCGGGCACTTCGAATAGTGACCAGCAACTGAAAAAACCAATTCGAAAGACCATGCGGCACCTGAACAAGGAACTCCAGCCCAATTCCGAAGCCTTTCAGTTTCAAAACCGAGGCACGCTGATCAGGCGTGCCAGCACCTCGGTGTCTTTCCAGGGACCGGCGGTCAGCAGCGCCTTGCAAGGACGCCACGAACTTCTTGGGCGTTTGGAGTTTAATGGGAACCGAGACTCCAACAAACACCGCCCCCCCTCGAACAGAACAGAACTGCAAACTCAACCCCCACAGGCCTGGGTCAAGAATCCTAAAGTAAGTTACCATAATGAGGCCGTTCTACTATTTTCTATATAGGCCCATATACTAAGGCCCTCTTATGGCAGTCATTAAGAAGTTTAGGGTTGTGTGTATTGGGTTTAGGGGCGAAACTGATACCCATTCTCGAAAGAAGATGTACCGGAGCCTGGCGTGGCCTATTCGGATCTGGGCTTTGACTAAGGCAGTCAGTTGGTTTAGGGTTTAGGGGTTTAGGGGTTTAGGGGTTTAGGGGTTTAGGGGTTTAGGGGTTTAGGGGTTTAGGGGTTTAGGGGTTTAGGGGTTTAGGGGTTAGGGTTTAGGGTTTAAGGTTTAATTAGGGTTTAGGGTTTAGGGGGTGTGGGCTGCTTGGGCCGTTTGGGCACGGCTCGGAACTGCGGTTGTTAGTGCCGATCGGGGCCGGGGTTCGCACCCCTCAACCCTATAAACCCTATAAACACTACAAACCCTATAAACCCAAAAAAACCTTCTCAGGCCCTATAAACCCTTTCAAGCCCTATAAACCCTTTTTAAACCCTATAAACCCCTTGTCGCCCTGTACCCCTTCCCTACTAACCTCGGCTCACCCAGCTCATGGCCTCCAGATCTGCGAAGCTCCACTTGGCGATTGCCGCCTACAAGCTGCAAAGGTTCAGGGTTTAGGGTTTAGGGTCTAGGTCCTCTAGGGCTTTTAGGGTCTGGGGGCTGAGGGTTTAGGGTTTAGGCTTAAGGTCTAGGGTTCAGGGCTTATATGTTTGTGTTTAGGGCTTAGGGTTCAGGCTCGGGGGGGAGAGCCCCACATTAGAACCTCAAGCAACATCAGAAAGCTCAAGGGGTGGTCCCCTTCTTGTGAATTCAGATCTCTTCGATCGCTGCGCTCCCTGGTCTGCAGGCGATAGCTCGAAGGGCTCCTATAACTCTACTTTGTAGTAGATAACTAGCTACAAATAGGAACCCAGAACCAAAAAAGCAACTAAAGTGTAGTACTCCAAAACAAGTATACAACACAAGTATGGGATCTTATGCCACCCCACCTTAACTTCACCCTACCCCAAAAGAAGACCCAAACAAGGCTTCGGCACCTTCAGCCCTGTTATTGTTGGGCCTTGCTCTCGGGTTGGAGTGAAAATGCCGTAGGACCGTGTTCGGAAAACCCTGAGACCCACACAGAAAACTCAACGCCTCACAAGTAAGGCATATCCATTCGATCATGAACCCCCTTACAATTTCAGGTATGTATTGAGGAACATACCCTGGTTCAGCAACAAGACCCCTAAATAGGCGAGGCGGTAGCCCTTGGAACCTTATAAATAAGGCACGTTCCTTGATGAAATGTTGTTGGGCACACTAACATTAGTTCCCTGCATCAAGACACTTAAGCCCGGATCTAAGCCCCCTAAAGGTATACTTTTCTTGAACCCTAACAAGAAATAGTATGTGTAATCTGCAAATAAAACAAGTAACATAATTCCTCAGGAAACTATGGTACAGGAAGCCCTCAGCCCGAAACCCCAAGCCCATTAAACCCCTCAAGCCCACCCCAGCTAACATCCTAAAGCAGCCGAACGTAGGGCCCTTAATGATTAGAATAGGGTTTCGGGGGTTATGATAGAAAAACTATATTGGCACCATAACGGAAAGACCCTTAGCAATTATCCCGACCCGTATATTTAACCCGATAGCCCTGCACCCCCCCCCCCCCCCCGCATGATCTCAAAACCCTTAGAACCCTCAACCTTCTGCTACTTCCAAACCCGAAACCCTAAGCGCCCCCGTCTCCTGCCTGCGCCTTGGACTCCCACCAGCCCTGCGTCCAAGCCTCCAGGGCTGCGGCGGCCGAGAGCACCTGTGGTTTGGTTAGGGTTTAGGGTTTAATTAGGGTTTAGGGTTGGGGTTTGGGGTTTTTATAGGGTTCTTGAGGGAGGGGGGTTGAAAGGACCCTAAATCCTGTACCCCTTGAGAACCTGCAAACGTTTGCTTTGCTACTTGTTGCTGGCCTTGGGCGCTGGTCTGGCTCGTGGTGACAAGTCTTCGGGGGCGGTTTTGGAGTACCCTAAACCCTAAACCCTAAACCCTGAACCCTGAACCCTGAACCCGAAACCCTAGCCCCCCCCCCCCGCCCCGCCCCCCACCACCCCTGTGCTACCTCGGGCAGCAGGGCGCAGGCGCAGTCCAGCAGTGGCAACACCAAGGAAGGAACTCGGCAGTCCTTCGCAGGAAGCCCAAAGCTTGAGGGTTTACAGGTTTCGGGCTCTGGGGTTTAGGGGTTTGGGGTTCAGGGTTTAGGGTTTATAAGTTTATAGGGTTCAGGACTTAGAGTTGAGGATTTAGAGTTTCGGTTTTCGGGTTTTGGGGTTCAGGGGGGGCTCAGGGACCTCTGAGCTGTCGAAAAATATTGCTCAGCAAGGTCCTCGTACACCCAATGAACTTCAAGCATGAAATCTCCAAACGTGCTACCAGGTACCAGTGCTGAATTGGGGGGGGGAGATCCAATTCCTGATGTAGGGCCCTAAACCCTAAACCCTAAACCCTAAACCCTAAACCCCTAAACCCCTAAACCCCTAAACCCCTAAACCCTAAACCCTAAACCCATGTCCTTATTTAAGAGGTCTGGGCCTGTCGCGGAAGCACGCGAGTTAGGACTTCATGATTGGCTGGAGAAACTCTCTCTGCTCTCGCAGCTATCTAAACCTACCCATACTACTGTCACTTCCTGGAGAGAGGCAACCCTAAACCCTAAACCCTAAACCCTAAACCCTAAATTCTGACAAAAACAGGACCCCAATTTTCTGAGAACTGACCAAAGGGTCGGTCGATCTGAATCTTGAGCACACTTGGATGTACATGTGCCGTATATTTCCATGGAGACCTCCAAAATGCCCAAAAAAATTGATCATGAACCATATGCGACACATAAAATGTTCGCCCATGAGGGCTGATCTAATTTCTGATTTATGCGCTCAGAACCTCCTCACAAGCAATTACTTCGGCAAGCTGCATGATTTTGATGGCGCCGGTAAACGGACCTTATGTACATACATGTGGGTTGCGTGTATACTGTCATGGGGACCCCTTAGCGCCTTAACCTCTCAACTCAACCCTAGGCCCCTAAATCCCAACACCTCATAATCTACGTATGTTTCTAGGTTGTTACTAGGGTTTAGGGTTTAGGGTTTAGAGATTCAAAAGGGTGCCTTTTTGTTGCCGAAAGGGGTTTACAAGGGAACCGAAACCCCCCCCCCCCCCCCCCCCCCACCCAAAAAAAAAAAAAGAAAAGGAATAAGGGTGCCACCCTAAACCCTAAACCCTAACCCTAAACCCTGAACCCTAAACCCTAGACCCTAAACCCCAAACCCTAAACACTAAACCCTAAACCCTAAACCCTTGGGGTGTCCCCATAGCGGACGGCAAGCAGGGCTGCGGCCTGGCAGGCACAGAGGGCTCTCGGAAAGAAGGACACGCTTAGGGTTCAGGGTTCAGGGTTCAGGGTTTAGGGTTCAGGGTTCAGGGTTCAGGGTTCAGGGTTCAGGGTTTAGGGTTTAGGGTTTAGGGTTTAGGCTTTAGGGTTTAGGGCCTCGGGTTTATAGGGTTTAGGGTATGGGCATGGTCAGAACAGTCAAGGCTTTGGGGCTTTTGGGGACTTGGGGGTGGAAGTTTAGGGGTCTTGAAGTTTGGGAATTTTGGGGCTTGAAGGGGGGTTAGAGTTTAGGGTTTAGGGTTTAGGGCTTAGGGTTTAGGGTTTAGGGCTTAGGGTTTAAGGCTTATAGGGTTTAGGGTTTAGGGTTCACCGTAATGTATCCCTAAAGCTGAGGGCTACGGGGTTGTCTAAAGAAGGGGTTTGCCTGAACCCTCCGTGAACCCCATGTCCGCCCCGGAGCAACGGTAAGTTCAGAGGTTAAAGAGCCTAGGGCCCTCCAAAAGTAGGGCTTAGGGTTTTGGTTGGGGTTTAGGACATATACATACATCAACATAGAACACCCAGAAAATCAAACGTAAAGTACTTCCTAGAGTGGTTAGGGCTTTAGCAGCTCTTGGCTGGGTTGGCAAGCACAAGATTTCCAAGGATTTCGAGCCACATGTAGACCCTAAACCATAAACCCGAATAACCCTCAACCCTCAACCCTCAACCCTAAACCCTAAACCCAAAACCCTAAACCCAAGAGGGATTTTCAGAGCTTCAGAAGGCGCCTGTTCCAGATTTGAGTCCGTTGCACGTTTAAGGCCAGTGTCTATGGTTCTTTGGGGCGCTGCTAAGGCCTGAGTTCCCCCTTCACACTGTAGGATTCTTATAAGAATATCCCCTAAACCCTGGACCGTTGACCCTAAACCCTAAACCCTAAACCCTAAACCCTAAACCCTAAACCCTAAACCCTAAACCCTGAACTACACCCTAAACCTCGCAAGCCTATAGACCCTACGGCACCAAAGGCCGGCCCTGCCCAGATGCCTCGTGCAGCTGCGATTCAGGAGCTGGCAAGCCGTCCTGTTTAGGGTTCTAGGGTTCAGGGTTTAGGGTTTTAGGGCTTAGAGGTTAGGGTTTAGGGTTCTAGACTGCCTACATTTCGTAGGGACTTGAAGTGGGGTTTAGGGTTTAGGGATTAGGGATTAGGGTTATAGGGGGAGGGGGTGTAAGGGCAAGCTTCATTTAGGGTTGAGGGACTAGGGCTTTAGGGTTAGAAGGTTGTTTGCCTTGTCGCGTTTCGGGTTTAGGGTGTGTAAGGTTGGGCCAGTTTGTTGGTCGATCTGATCCAGGATGATATTGGCAGTTTTCACTGCGAACGTCTGTGCAGATGGGGCCTCACGCCAGCGCTGCATGATCGACTCACGTGTCGTCAGGTTCCCAGCGATGCAGATAGCCAACTGCTCCCGGTTCGTCGTCTTGATTGGCTCTGGGTCAATTGGGCTTCTGCCCAGGAAGCCGCACGAAGCAGAATACGCGCCGTAATTCTTGCGAATCATCTCGGCCAGTGCTCGTGCCTTGCTGATGGCTGCGCGGAGCTTGTCGACACCAGGGACAGGAAGGTCTCGATTTGCCGCTCTCTGCATGGGCCACGACTGCGCAAGTGGCCGGGACGCTGAGGAGGTCCTGCTCACGTGGACCAGCTATTGGTGAAGCTATAGGGTTCCAGGCCTAGGGCTCATGGTTAGAAGAATGGGCTTTGGGCACCGAATATAAGGCTCCATAACATAATCTAGGAACCCCAAATGGAACCGTGATTCGAGAGCCACCCATAGAAACTCCCGAAATGCTTGAGAAGCAGGGTGCTTGGTTCCTTGGAGGGTCTCTGGATTTAGGGGCCACATAAGGTACTCTATTTAGGCTGAGTGGGCCCGTGCCAACTTGAAAAGTCGAACTTTCGAACCTTCACACAGGTTTGAAGGCCTAAAGGTTCGCTGATACTCCCCACTACTCCCTATGGCTCCCGAAGCTTCCCTAAAGTTTCCTAGGTATGTAACCCCCCATGAAAACCCCTCCCTTAAGGACCCCACAACATAAGACTTTCAAGGTCAGGGATTTTTGTTATCCGACCTTCGCAATCACTTGACGTGCATCCGAAGCCCGGAAGGTCAGGGGTGCTAAGCCGTCCCAGTGCTTGGTGAGGTTCAGGATTAGGGTGGGGGCACGCGGCGGAGGCAAAAACCCAGACCCCAAAACCCAACACCCAAAACCCCCAAACCGTAAACCCCAGAACCACTACTCCAGGAATGCTATGAAGCAAAAACCCACAACCACAAAACGCGACCCCTAAACCCGAAAACCCCAAACCCCAAAACCCTAAACTCAAAAACACGAAACCCTAAAACCCTGACTGAACCCCTAAACCACAAAACCCTAAACCCAGAAATCCCAAAACCACAAAACCCTGCACCCATAAAACCCAATCCCTAAACCCCTAAACCCTGGAACCTACAACCCTGAACCCCAAATCCCCAAAACCCTGAGCCCCTAAAAACCCTAAACCCCTAAACCACAAAACCACAAAACCCTAAGCGCCTAAAGACCTCAAACCCCAAGACCCTAAACCCCTAAACCCTGAACCCCCAACCCTGCTCCAGGAGATGCAAAGGCTGCCCAAAACCCCTAAACCCCCAAAACCCTGACCTCCTAAAACCAAAAAACCCTAACCCCTAAACCCCAAAACCCTAACCTCCTTAAAACCATAAAACCCTCAAACCCCAAAACTCCAAAACCCTAACCCTGAAGCCCCAAAACCTTAAACCCTGATGCTCCAGGAGATGCAAAGGCTGCCGCGCGCTCAGGGCTGCGAGGAGTTTGCCGGCCGGCGCCCCGCGAAGGCTTTCGAGGATGGCGCATGCGGCCCGGGCCTTGACCCCCCAAAAAAGGGGTCTAGGTTTTGGGGTTTGTAGGGCTTAGGGTTTCGGATTTGTAGGGTTTAGGGTTTAGGGTCTGTTGGGTTGAGGGTTTAGGGTTTGTAGGGTTTAGGGTTTAGGGTTTAGGGTTTGTAGGGTTTAGGGTTTGTAGGGTTTAGGGTTTAGGGCTTAGGGTTTAGGGTTTAGGGTTTAGGGTTGTTTGGGGTTTAGGGTGTTTAGGGTTTATGGGGTTTTTAGGGTGTCCAGGGTTTAGGGTTTAGGGGAGCATGCTCGGGAAGTACCCCGAACCCCCTGAGCACCTCTTCATACGGGCCCTGCGAACCTTAAGCCCACAAAAGGCGCAGAAGCTCTATAAATCTAAACCCTACCTTAAGAACGCAAAAGCCTACTTTTTCGTAAGTTTCCTAAGAATCCTATGAGGGATAATATGATTATTATGTCCGACAAGAATGTAGGCTTTTGGATGCTAAGGTTACATGCTAAACCCCAAACCCTAACCCTAAACCCCACACCGCAAACCCTCTAAACTCCACAGACGCCGGTCGACAAGCCCCCACGGTCACGGGCGGGGCCTCTGACTGGGAGCCGTTTCTCAGGACCGCATCCGCCAGAAGGGTGACCTGCTCAGGGAGCGCCTTAGGGGGTTGAGGGTTTGGGGTTTAGGGTTTAGGGATTAGTAGGGTCTAGGGCCGGGCTTAGAAATTTTTAGGGTCGTAGGGTTTTGTTTGGGTTTTAGGGATTGGGGTGTAGGGGGCTGCTTTCAAGGTTTAGAGTGGCTTGGGGGCTTATCGCGGAGTCCCCCTAAAGCCCTGGGTCCTAAACCCTCGAACCGAAAGCCCCGCCCAAGCCTCCAACAGTTTAGGGTTTAGGGTTTAAGGTTTAGGGTTTAGGGTTTAGGGTTTAGGGTAAGGTTTAGGACAACCCTAAACCCTGAACCCTGAACCCTAAACCCTACACCCTAAACCATAAACCCTCAGTCCAAAACACCAAGGACCAAGAAGTTCGAGGCCCTAAACCCGAACCCCTACTTCATAAACCCAAGACTAACCTAGGAAGAAAAAGGTCGTAAACCCAAGAGTAACCCAGGAAGAAAAGGGTACCCTTTTTGGTTTGAAGGGGCTGCAAGAGGGAACCTGAACCTTACAAAAAGGGAATCTGGGTCCGAGTTAAAGTGTAAGCCTACTAAAACCCAAACACTAAACCCTAAACCCTAAACCCTGAACGCGAAAGGCAAAAGCCTAAAGCCTAAAGCCTAAACCCTAAACACTGTGGAGGTGGCCTCCTCGGAATCTCCGCAGCCGTGCGGAGATGCGTCGAGCAAGGCGCCCGCGGCCAGGACCGCGCGGCGTGCGAGCAGCTGAGGCCAGAGCCTGGCGCTTTGGGTTTAGGGTTTGGGGTTTGGGGTTTAGGGTTTAGGGTTTAGGGCTTTTTTCCGGGGGGAACAAACCTTGAGCTTCTACTACATACTGTAGACTGCAACAAGTTGGAACATCCGTAAGGCCTGTATCCCGAAAAAAGTGTACTAAAGGGCATCCTAGCTCTAATCATCCTTAACATATAAAGGCCGGTGGCCTCTTGATGAATCTGTTGCCCTTCCACCTTAACATAGCCCCTAGATACCCTAATAATTAAGAACCCCTGCAAAACAGAAACCCTGCTTAAAGAGACCACCAACACACATCATCCTTCAACCATGTTCCCACCTTCTGGAGTTTACAGTAGGGCCCCCCTATCATGAATGGAAGGCTCGTTCCTCAATTGATTGGTCTTGGCCTCGTCGGAGTCTTGCACTATTAGGGTTTAGGGTTTAGGGGATTTTAGGGGGATTTGATCCCAGTTAGGCTCCTTTCTGTTAGGGAGCCTTTGCGTAAATGCGATCAACATCTACTGGGCATTTCAACTTGGAGGCCATTTGTTCTTCAACACCGCATGCTATTGTCATACGCAAGTGGCTTTGCAGATGCAAGGGTGAAGCAACAGCAAAAACAAGTAGTGCTACAAAATCACATTGCCTGAACAACCACCTGTGCTCTCAAGCTTTTCGTGACTTGTTGAGTCTTGCGAAATATCTCGAGGTTGGCTCTACTACAAACCCCCCCACAGTACTGCTTCTCCTCGCACAAGTATTCCAAAGGCCTACCTACGTCTTAAAAACAAACTCACAATGACCCCGCAGGCATGGGAACTTGTAAGGATCCTAAGTTTGGTTATAAGTCCCTTAACTATAGTTAGTATAGTCAGGGGGCCCCTCCTGGTATACTATACCCTCCATGCCGTTACTGAACCCGAGCTATGGAGCCTGCTAGACCCAGGCAGTCACGTAGGAATGAAAACAGGGTGTGCCCCGCTATCTGTGGGGGTCTTGGGGCATCCAGCAACCTTTTTTGGTTTCAAGGGCCCTTAAAAAGGGGAATAAGGGCCTACTCTAAGTCCCAGTATACTCTACCCTCTATACCCCCTACTGAACCCTATCTATGGAACCCGAAACCTTTGCCCTAAACCCTAAACCCTAAACCCTAAACCCTAAACCCTAAACCCTAAACCCTAAACCCTAAACCCTAAACCCTAAACCCTGAAAGGAAAGGGGAAGGAGGGCCTACTCTGGGTCCTAGTCCAACCTGATCTCTGGGGCCTCGGAGCATCCAGCAAGCATAGAGCTTCTGGTGGCAGCTGCTCCCCTGTAGGGTTTAGGGTTTAGGGTTTAGGGTTTAGGGTTTAGGGTTTAGGGATGGGAGCTGGTTAGGGCTCAAAAGCTCTTCAGGCTTCGGGTTTAGGGACCCTACAGAATCGCATAGAGGGTTATGTAGGGGGCTACAAAAAATATCATTCCCTCATTCTCTGCTGAGAACTAGAATACCAGGATGGCGAATGGCCATGATTTGTATTGCTTGTACCCTAAAACCTAAACCCTAAACCCCAAACCCTTAAGGGTTCACTTCTTAGACCTAAAGCACGTGGGAGGACGTATGGCTTGGGCTTGGGATGAACCGGGAATTGGGCCCGACTGTAAACCCTAAACCCTAAACCCAAAACCCTGAACCCTAAACCCTAAATTAGGGGCTAGGGTTTTCGGGTTTAGTGCTCAGGGTGCCCACAACCTAGATCCATCCTCCCGGTTGGAAGACCGAAGACTCCCAATGGGGGTTTAGGGTTTAGGGTTCAGGGTTTAGGGTTTAGGGTTTAGGGTTTAAGGAAACTACTACGCCCACCCCCCCCCCCCCCCCCCCCCCCTCGATTAGAGTGTGTGTTTTCCTTTCAGAGATAACCCTAAAACCTCCCAGCAACAACCCAAGAAGCCTATCCCGGACGCACAAATTCTACAGACCAAGGGCCTGTTTAACTTGAACTTGAACCCGCTTCAAGCTTGCAGGGGTGAATTATGCAATCAGATTGAGAATCTTGCCTAGATTTCATGAAAAAAGGTTAGACGCAAACCCCGTAAAACCGATGGCCCGACCTAGAGGCCTAATTACAAAGAGCCTGTCAAATCTGATACCCCACATTCCTCCGACTCTCGTTTTTCACCCATAGGTACCATACGCTCGCAACCCTAAACCCTTAACCCTAATCCCTAAACCCTAAACCCTAAACCCCTGGTGCCGTTAAAGTCGATGTGGACCATCCACCCGGCCTTGCATCTAGCCCTCGCGATACGAAGAAGAAGAAGACCCTAAACCCTAAACCCTAAACCCTAAACCCTAAACCCTAAACCTTAAACCCCCTGATTGACCCCGTCTGGGACTCTCTTTACTTGCAGTTTAATGGATTCTGCCTACTAGTTATTAAGGGGAAGTTACTACTAAACTGTAGGCACCTAGAGTCTCAAATGAATCTTGAACCCTCAACCCTAAATCGCAACGCCAAACCATAAAGCCCTCCCCACTGAACCACAGACCTTACCTGGGACCCTTACCTGGGACTCTACTCACCTACAGTTTCGTAACTGCCGCTTACTTGGTAGGTAAAGCCGCTAAACTGGAGGTAAAGAGAGTCCCAGGTAAACCCCCTAAACCCTAAACCCTAAACCCTAAACCCTAAACCACACATCGACGTGGGGCCTTTGAGTAGGGCAGCCTCCGCAGAAAGCTGTAGCGACTGCCAAGTCGGCGAAGACGTCTGCGTTGTGGGAGTTTAGGGTCGGGTTTAGGGGATTTTAGGGTTTAGGGTTTAGGGGATTTAGTGTTTAGTAGGTAAGTTCACAGGGTTTATGAAGTTTAGGGTTTACGGTATAGGGTTGAGGGTTTAGGGCTTCGGGCTTGGGGCGCATAGTCCTTGCAGGACTGAGCAGCAACTGCTGCGTGTGATTGATGCGTGTGTTTACGGCTTACTGTAAACTCCAGAAAGTTGGAACATCATTATCCCCATACCCCAAACGGTATACTAAAGGGAATCCCAGCTCTAATCATCCTTCAACCATGTTCCAACTTTCTGGAGTTTACTGTAGGTAGTCGCAATGGTTGGAGTAGGGGCCTGTAGGGTTTAGGATTTTTTGGGGCAACCTGGGACTCTATTTACCGGCAGCTTAGTTAAGTAGTAACTGCCGCTGAAGTAGTAAATGGGAGTCCCAGGACCTCTAAACCCGAAACCCAATGAAGGCTTAGGGTTTATAAGGTTTAGGGTTTAGGGTTTAGCACAATCGGGGTTTAGGGTTTAGGGATGCAAGCACCTCCGCATAGCGGGCGTAGATCCGCAGGCGGAAGCCTGCAGGAAGAGAAGGCTTGCGGCTGCAGTCCTCCCGGTCGGCCCACGTTTAGGGTTTAGGGTTTAGGGTTTAGGGTTTAGGATTTAGGGTTTAGGGTTTAGGGTTTAGGGCTTGAGCGGTTCAGGGTTTGGGGCTTTGGTTTGGGGTTCTCTTTTTTGGGGGGCTGGGGGTTTCTCAATTGTTTGTCAGAGCTGTCAAGAAAGCCCAGTACTTCTTGTCATGAGAATTACCTTGGGAGCCCCTAAAAAATTGGGACCATATACCCTATACTACTAGAATCCTTATGGGGGTATATGAACCATAAACCCTTTTAGGGTTCATTTGGTTCTCAAGGTACAGGGGAGGTGTAGGGCCGGGCGCCGTACTCCCCAGACAAGACCTTCGCGGGCCGGAGAAAGCCATGAGAATATGGGCCCCACATGCCCACCCTCCTAAAGCCAGACCCCTCAACCCTAAACCCTAAACCCTAAACCCTAAACCCTAAACCCTAAACCCTAAACCCTAAACCCTGAACCCTAAACCCTAAACCTCTCCTCGGCCCAGTCACGCAGGCTCGCGTCTTCGCCTAGCTCGGTGATCACGGCGATGGCCGCTTCCTGCCCAAAGCCTTAAGGACTAAGTAAGGGTTTAGGGTTCAGGGTTCAGGGTTTAGGGTTTAGGCAATAAATCAAGCAAAGAACATTTCCTTTTAGCATCGTTCATGTTGTCGTTTTGTTCTTCAGGGGATTCACTTTTTGGGGTTCAGGCTCAGGGCTTCTGAGGACTCAGCCCCCAGCAAACACCTGAAAGCAGAAGACTCCCGCTGCCCTAGCTACCCTACCTGGGGGACGGCTCCAAAACATCAAAAGAGATGATGGGGAGTTTGGGGGAGCTTGGAGTTCACGAAGGGACAAACCCACAAACCCTAAACCCAAAACCCTATAAACCCTAAACCCGAACCCACCCACACCTCCGAACCCCCCCCCGCCTCTCCTCCCAAAAAAGAAGAAGGCCCCAAGCCCAACCAAGCCCCAAAACACAAGGAGGGCTTCTCCTGGCATTCGGCAGCATCGCAACACGCCTCGGACGCTGAACCCCCAAACCTGATCCCAAACACTGAAGCCTCAACACCCAAAGTTAATCTAGGAGTAAGCACTTCGGGTTGAAGGCCTCAAGGCGAATTAGGAGGACATGTTTGCTTGAGGCTTTAGGGTTGAGGTTTGGGGTTGAAAACCCTAAACCCTTAGGCCCTGAACATGTAGGTCTGGGGTTTGGCGTGTAGGGGCAAAAAGTTTGAGGTTAAGGGTGTTGGGTTTAAGGATTTTTGGGGTCTAGGTTTCCAAGGTCGAACCCTAAACCCTAAACCCTGAACCCTGAACCCTAAACCCTAACAGGGTTTGTGGCTCAGGTTATCCATCTGACACCCCTCCGGCACGTAATGCGGGGCACGTGGGGGTCTGGACTAGTGCATAGGGGTTCAACCCGTTTACCACATGGTTTAGGGCTTAGGGTTTAGGGTTTTAAGGCCCGTGGGCTGTGTTGCCTGGAACGCGGTATCGTGCGCACTCTGAGTACAGACATACAGACAAACGACTACGGTACGTGGCTATATCAGCCCCATCAAAAGCCACTTCGGGATCTGAGGCTGAAAATCCCACAGACCCCTAAAGCCAAGCCCTACTACCGTAACCTTCAAGACACAAGGCCCTCTGAACAAGAACTCCAGCTACTCCAAAACCCAGGTTCTCCCCACCCCCCTCCCTAACCCGAAAACAAAACACCAAACAGCCGCTCATCGCCGTTACCCTCAACCCTGAACCCTGAACCCTAAACCCTAAACCCCTAAACCCTAAACCCTACACCTCTACACCCCCTAAACCCCTAAACCCCTAAACCCCTAAGCCCCTAAGCCCCTAAGCCCCTAAACCCCTAAACCCCTAAACCCTTAAACCCCTAAACCCCTAAACCCCTAAACCCCTAAACCCCTAAACCCCTAAACCCCTAAACCCTAAACCCTAAACCCTAAACCCTAAACCCTAAACCCTAAGCATGCTCTCCGAGCTGCGGTGAGTACCAGCGGCCAGGAGCTCGTTGGGATGGCGCGGACGGCGAGGCAATGCCGGACCTCTGTGGGCGGATGCGAGTAGTCTGTAGGGTTTAGGGTTTAGGGTTTAGGGTTTAGGGTTTAGGGTTTAGGGTTTAGGGTATAGGGTTAGGGTTTAGGGTTTAGGGTTTAGGGTTTAGGGTTTAGGGTTTAGGCTGAAACCCTTTTAGGGCTTTTATGTAGGGTCTGGGTTTAGGGGTCAGGGGCTTACGGTTTGGGGTTCCAATAAAAGCGTTCCCTTAAATTTGAAGCTCCTCTCTCGCAATATGCAAAGAAGATGTCTTCAAAAAGGAGCGACAGTAAAGGGGCCAAGGTTTTGGATAGAGAGCAAGCAGGGCAATGTGACCACCCCTGAAACTTAAACCCTAAGCCCTAAACCCTAAATCTTAAACCCTGAACCCTAAACCCTAAACCCTAAACCTTAAACCCTAACCTTAAACCTAGCTCCTGATCCCTAAAACTTTGCAAGAACGTAGGGAAGGGAATTAGGGCTTATAAGGACTATACTAGGTTGCCCAGTAACCTAGGATCAAAAAGGGTGCCCTTTTTGTTGCTTAAAGGGGGCTTATGAGGGAACCTAGACCCCCAAAAAAGGGAATAAGGGTGCCACCCTAAACCCTAAACCCTAAACCCTAAACCCTAAACCCTAAACCCTAAACAAAAGGCACTACTGGGCATCCTAGTATACTTACGGTCCCACATCCCACTACCCCCCAGGTGTGATCCTACACAACCTTTACCATCTTGGGGTTGAGGGTTTAGGGTTTAGGGTTTAGGGTTTAGGGTTTAGGGTTTAGGGTTTAGGGATCTTGACTACCCAGTACAAGGAGAGGCCCCTTACTATACTAACTGTAGTGAAGGGGCTTATGTGAAAAATTAGGATCCTGCAGCCCAATTTAGGGCCCTTTTTTACTCTACTTATAGCTAGGGGGCCCCCTCCTTGTAGGGTTATGGCTCAGGTTTCAGGGATGAGTTTCGCTCCCCCCCCCCCCCCCCCCCCCCCCCCCCCCCCCCC